TATAATAGCTGTAAATGTAACTAAATGTTACCTACACACAATATTTGTTTATTCTTAAAGCCAATTGATAATATTTTGACACGCATAATAAAAGGTACACGATCATAAGTAACCAATACTAACTTCTTTTAATTTCTTGTGTAAACTAAATACAACTAGTACAGAACTGCCCTATGGATAGACAAATAATTAGTGTGACCATATGTATCACATTTTAGCTACTTTGTCTGTTATGTGGCTAAAAAGGAATCATGTTATAAACACACAAAGAACTAACTCATGTGATGATACATTTATCTACTGTCTCTTATAAAAAAAAGTATGATAATCTTAATCGATACATGTGGCTGATTGTGACCTATGATCTCAGTGTTCGAGTGTGACTAATATTTGTCACATTTGGTATAATTAAGTGTGGTAAAAGTGTTGATTGTTTATATAATGGCTACACAATCTAATTTAAATGTATCCAAAAATAGTCTCTAAATTTTTTTAGTGGCTTTTGGCCACACTTTTAAGAAAAAGTATGACAGACTGTGTTTTCAGAAAGTGTGACCGTAGGTCATTTTTGTATTAGTGATAACTTTTTGTTTAAGAAAAAAAACGGATGGAATGGATAGAGTATTCACAAGTATATAAAAAAAATATATAACCTAGAAGTAGATATCGGACAAAATTGATAGAGTATTTATTTGAGTAGGCTTCTAAACCCACAATAAATCAATCTAATTTTATAATAATGTACTTTTATTAGTTTTTTTAATTTACATTGCAGCTACAGCCTACCGGATGGCAAAAAAACAAAAACCCAAAGATTTTGAGGCACGTCGGGTCGATCTTATCGGGTATATATGCAATTACGTCATTTCTGTCCTTAAACACATAACCCTAAAATTGTGTATCACTTTTATTTGACAGCGAAAAGCATGGTACAGTAAAACAAATTATATATCAACAAAACATCAGATCCGGTGCATATCTAGCACAGCACAAATTAAACAAATAATGTATAGCACTACGCAACAAACAATATGCTCGCAGCATTAATCAAGCTTTCCAGGATGACAATGGAGGAGTCTCGGTGTCCTTAAATGTTGAAATGCCATCACCATATCTACCACCCTTAACTGAATCAGCAGAAGCAATGGCTTCTAGTTCAGCCATGTCTTCTGGAGTTAGCTTCACAGATAAAGCTCCAATGTTCTGTTCAAGATTCTCAATCTTCGTGGTTCCAGGAATGGGAACCACGTCATTTCCTTGGTGGTGAACCCAAGCCAACGATAGCTGCGATGGCGTGCACCCTTTCTTTGCGGCCATGTCACTAACCTTCTTGAACATGATCGTGTTATGCTCAATATTTTCAGCTTGGAACCTCGGTAGATACTACAAAATAATAAATTTGAAAACCAGATTGATATCAATTGCCTAGTTGTTGCTAGATATATATTCATGAATTGAAAATATAACGAAAAAGTGTAACAAACAAACAGACCTTACGGAAGTCACCATCTTCCAAATTCTCGAGCACCTTTGGACCAGACGAGAAGAACCCCCGTCCTAGAGGACTGTATGTAACAATCCCGATCCCAAGTTCTCTGAAATTATAAAGGATGATATAAAGAATTAAGAGCATTGAATTTTTTAATACTTCGTTAATTACTTGCTAAATATTAAAGAAAAAGAAAGAGAGAAAGAAAGATAGAAGAAAAGATAACCTGCAAGTAGGGACGATTTCTTCTTCAACGTCTCTTGACCACAAGGACCATTCTAGCTGTACGGCTGTAATTGGGTGCACAGCATGAGCTCTTCTGATAGTTGATGCCGATGCTTCTGATAATCCAACGTATTTAATCTTTCCTTCTTCTACCAGTTCCTTCATTGCTCCCATCTAACAATCAAGAAAAGATTTA